AACATTGATGTTTCATATACTTCCTTAATATCACCCATTTCTGGGAAACATCCACAAGTTTAAAACTGCACTGATAAATGTTTTTAGGGTTGTTTTCCTCACTTTCCTCACTTTGCCTCCTATAAACATCTAGTTTGAACCCCTACAGGAAGGTACAAGGCAACTGGAAAATGAAATTGAAATTCACTGCAATAAAGACACATAAATAACCTCTCGAATGTTATTTGCTAGACTTCTATCCTGGTTCACAGAATTCAATAATTTCAGTAACTGACCCAGAACAAGTATGAAATTCATAGTTTCCATTTTTGTCCTGGGTCAGTGACTCGGAAATGATTAAAGCCAAGAAAAGCCAGGTAATTAGTATTTTCAGAAGGAGGTCATCAGGTGCAGCCTACAGAAAGCTATCAGTACAGGTTTAATTTAAACACCACTTTTACCTCAACCCTTTTCACCGAAAGACATTTAGAGGACTTCTCTTGGAATGTAGCTGCAATGCTGTTATTTCAGTACTTAATAAATGTGGATAGTGATGGATTTGAAGCCCAACTGAAGTCACAGGAATTGAGATGCAGTCAGACTAACGTGCAGTCCAATAAGCATCAAAGTTAAACCCAGTGCTCTCATTAATCAGCACTAACTCACAAAACAATGGCATACAAGTCCGTGTAAAGGTGGTCATACACGTTACAACAGCCCGTCATGCACAGATCAATGTAGTTCGCAATTAACGTCCGTCAGCACCAATAACTGCCTGATTTTTGTTGATTGAAAGAACAGATTTTCGTTTGAGCATGTGCAGTTTTCATCTTGAGATTTTTGTTGTATACAAACGCCACTAACCCGTCGATTTTTGTCCAACTAGCAGAAAATTTTCTAGCCCGCTTGAAAGACGAAAATCTGCCAGTTGTACAGTAATTGCGGTTGTACACTTCCCATCAACTGACAGATTTGTGGACGAAAATGAGATTGCAGACAAAAATCGGCAGATACTTGTGTGTGGGCACCTTCAGGCTGTTTGTGACTAGGGGCATTGCAGTTGCTCACCTCTACCAACACAGAGCAGTGGCGTGGGAGAGCAGCAAGAAGCATTTTTTACAAACAGAAACAGGTCTTTCAAGGCATTTTCATGCAAAAATCGCAGTCCCAAATTATGACATAATAATGTGGGGGTACAGGGCTATTAAGATATAAAATAGTGTGAGACTTCAATTTGGTTTAAGTATGCATTCACTTAACTAAATTACCCATTGGATTCTTATACCACTGCCAAACTCCAGTGGTAAGACTACCCTGTGACGATAAAGAGGTCTGATGAACCCCAAACTGAATAACAAAAAGGTGGGCTCTTATCTCCAGAATGCACAAGACAGCAAAAGACTATTAGATTTAAAAAATCTTGTGTGTGAGAAACAAATATAACACCACCCACCCTCCCCACTACATCAACTAGCTTCAGCAAGTTGAATAAACAAAATTCTAGCAAGATCATAAATCTTGCTTAGCTGACAAACCTCTTAATGGCTATCATAACATCACTTAGTGGGGGCTGGAATAACAGAAACTATCATATAGTCTGTTGTAAATAGATCAGCAGGCACTTAAGTGAATCTGCATTTCTGGCTGATGTTTGCTAACTGCAGATCTCAAAAACCTGCATCATGCTTATATCAAACCTGGCATTTCATGCTATGCAATACTATGTTGCTTCTTGGACTATAAAGCCTGATCCTGGGAAAATATTAATAAAGTTCAGAGAACTGTATTTAAGCAAGGGTCTGCTGAACTATCATAAAACATTTTGACATCCCCCTCAGACCTTTGTATTAGTCATGTCATTTCTGTAAAACCTCCCTTCAGGGATCACAGCTTGAAGATCTCCATTTTGCATCAAAACTATGCATGAATGCTGAGTCATCTCTGAAAGCCAATGACTCTGTTAGCATTTGACTTATGCTGAATTAGACTCTGCAAGTACAAAGATCAGGACAACTTTGTTAAGTACTTTATTCACATTTAATCCCTGATGATATTGTCTGTATTTTGTAATATTTTTTTCTGTAAATATTTTCCTTGTACTGTTTTTTCTTTCTATTAAAAACAATATTTAAAAATAATGAACCTTTATCTATTTATTGTTCTAAATCAGAAAAAAATATCTTGCCCTTGAAGAAAGCTAATTCTGTGAAAAAAAAGGTTAACTGTGGAGTCACTGACCCGATCACTCTCACTGTTGATGCTTAGGATGGTGTCCCACAAGCTAGAACATCTTTGCACAGGGTGATGCTGAGAGTACAATTGTCACATAGCCTACCAAACTACAGACACTACCCCATGCCACAGCTGTTCAGAAGACAATTAAGGTTTTCTTGCTACTGCATTTTCTTTAACCACCTCCCGGCCAGCCGTTAAAGAACAGCCGGCCGGGAGCTCTCTAGATCGGAGCGATGCCTGTTAACATACAAGCGATCCGCCAGCTATAGAGCCGGTGTATCGATTGTATGGGGTGCCGTTCTGTGTTGTCCCCCCCTCTGCTCTCCCCCCCTCCGCTCTCCCCCCCTCCTGCTGTCACGCTGGTCCCGGGCTCCGCTGTGCCCGGTGCGAGCCCGGGACCAGCATAGTGCCTCTGTGACAGGGGATTAGAGAGAGATCGTTACACAAACTCCCTCCGGTCCCCTCTCCGCTGTCAGAATGCGGAAGTGTTGTATATTACATCACTTCCACATTCTTGTGTCACTATCCAGCTTCAGACGCTGGAGATAAGCTGACAAAGCAGATCTCTGCATCATCAGCTTCTTCGGGGGGTCCTAGGTGACATTAGGGGTCTTGGAGACCCCTGATGTCTCCATAAAGAGGACCTGTCACATCTCTTTGCTATCACATAGGGGGGTTTTAATTAGCCCCCTATGTGATAGCAATAAAGTTAAGTGAAACCAAAAATAGGGGAAAAAAATTAAAGTTTCCAAAAAACAAAATTTAAAGTCACACATAAAAAAGAATAAAACTTCTTTTTAAAGTCCCCACCCATACATACACGCGCAAACATGCATCGGGTGCGCATACGTGCGAAAACAACGATTACGCCGCACATGTTACATATCGCCATGAATGTTGCAGGGAGAGCAATAATTCTAGGCCCATCAATCACTTATAACACAAAACTGATGAGAGGTAAAAGCTTTTAAAGCGTTGAATATGGCCAATTTTGGGTATAGTAGTTTTCTGCAATTTTAAAGCTTGACATGTTTGGTATCTATTTACCAGACGTGACCCCGACTTTTATATTTTAGAAAAAAATTGGGTAATAATAAATGTTTCCTAACATAATGTAAAAAAAACCTTGTTTTTTTCAAACTTGTTAGTAATTTTTCCTTAATATAGTAAAAAATAAAAACCCCAGTGGTGATTAAATACCACTAAAAGAAAGCTCTATCTGTCCCCAAAAAATGATATTAAAGGCATTTCAGTACAGCATTGCATGACGGAATAAATGCCAGTCAACGTACTGCAGCGCTAAATACTGACAAATGGCCTGACCAGGAAGGGGGTGTAAACACCGCGGTCTTCAAGTGGTTAATATAAAGAAAATAAACAGGTAATCCAGCTTCTGCTTCCTTTATTGCTGGATCACCCAGGCTGTGACAGGTGGGCAAGGCTGTGAACAATGAAAGCTATTAGGATCTCCTCCTCAAATAATCTCAATCAATAAGTACACATTTTATTTATTGTCCATGTAATAAATAAGCAGACTATTTCCCTAAACTCTCCAACAGCATGGCTATTATCATTTCTTCAATTTATGTTGGTGAGTCTGACATATGGGGTTTTATTGCTAACCAGACATTTAAAAAAATATAACACTAGAAACCAAACTGCCTTTTGCAAACAAACCAGTAACTCCCATTAAACTAAAACACATTAACAAAACAAATTATTGTGAAAGAATTTGTGCCACATGCTCATCAACTTGAAGCAGCCATTGTGTGGGCTGAGATAAACCATTCAAGACTAGAGCCTTGCTACAAAATAACAACAAACTGTTACATGAAGACATGATGAGTAGTAAACCATTACAACTAATCCATTTACTAAAATAAAAGGTGGGGAAAATAATTTACAATCATGTTTATGTAGCACTGCATTTTGTACATTGCATGTTGCTTATAAATGACAGCATGACAGGTGCTCTTTAGCTGAAATTTGGAAAAATTGGTTTCATTCTAGTAATGACTAGCCGATCATCTGCAAAGTGCAAACATCCACAACGATGGATCTTGTTTTAACACATAAAGAGGTGTGATGTTTTCCTCTGTGGACTTCATATTAAGGAACAAGTACCCTCCTCACTTCCCTCCAAACTGTGGTATCTACAGGTACAATATTTTCAGGAAGTGAGAAGTCCATGCACCTTGGCTCTGCCCTGTTCTATAACATGTACGCACAATCTGATAGGGTAAGATATATTATAATATATTAATATAGTAACATTTATTATAATAATTAGTTATTGGTGAACTTTGCTGCTTATCCTAATGGCTTCTCTTATCCCTGGTGGACTGCAGAGGCCAGATCTCTTTCTCTGACTTCTCTGCTGAGCTTTGCCCCACCAAGGATTCCCACTCTTCTTGATGCATTCTTAATTTACATTGATTTAAAAATTCATTAGAAAGAAAAAGACATCCCAACAATGGATGCAGCAGGAGCCTCCAAGAACTATAGGATGCCTTTAGATGTATATAGCGTATTCAGCTATGTATATGAACCACAAGATGAAACAGGAACAAATGCCCCAGTTTAATGTAAAGAAAGTTTTGCCGGAGAGAAGCCTGCATTCCTCAGGTTCACTGAAGTACTTGTTTATGATGTTCCTGCCAAGTCTTGTGAGTGACTCCTGCCATATTGGTTTGTATTGCCCCACAGACTGCACCCAAGCCCTGTGTGTCTTTATTAACACACGCACACACCGTACATGCATGCCCCTTGAGAATGCAAAATCTTACCTGTTGAGTATCTCCTTCTGTAAATGGTAACTTTGTGGATACATGGAACATGATCTCCTTTTCTCTGAACACAGTGTATATGGACTCTGTCCCTGTCTGCCCATGTGCCACATCCAACCCTCCTCGAAACCTATAAAGGAAGGTTATGTGTCATTAAACATATTGATTTAATCATGAGAAACTTAAATATTGGTTTATCTAACCACTTTAGTGGGTTTTCAGTTTACACCTTAAAGCATATGTGGACTCCGTCACTAAAAGTTATATAAGTTTAATTGATTTTCTTAAAAATGGCGACTAGAGTTTGAATTTTATTTGTAGCATAGTGCAATGAGCAAAGGTAACAAACAAAGTGCAGTAACCCACTGCAGGGAATCCTATTGTTTATTAAAAAAAGAAGCCCAGCCAGTGAACTATGCATCCTGGTTGATGTGAGTTACTACACCTATAAATATTTATAGATCTATATATGTGTATATATATATACACACACATATATATATACACACACACGCACACACACACACACACACACACACACACGCGCGCACACACCTAGATTCTTATAATACAGTATCTTAAGAGTTTTGCACTTCCTTAAATATTGGTTTCTATCTTTCTACTGTCCAGTAAGAGTTTCAATTCATATGACATCTGGTAATGCTACTAAGACTGTTTCAAAGGCCACATTTTTGCTGTTTGTGATGGGTGTAAATATAATACACAATAGATCATATCACACGAATTGAAGCAAACAAGGGAAAAGCTTAGAACATGACAATAGCTGGTAATGTAAAAGTTTGTGATTGCTGCATACACTGCAACTTTTCCTTCTACAGAAGGACAAAAGGAGCACAGAGAATGGGCAATCAAATCTATCTACAGAAATCCTTGAGAAAAAAAACATAATCAGCAAAACTTTTCAATGTACAAAATATTGATTTCCAACCCATTTAATCTCACTTTACAAAAAGAAAACAAAGCAATCATCGTGATGGCAAAAAGGCATTAACAAAATCTGTACTATTGATTTAAATATCCAGAGAGATTCTTCCCACACTGCCACTTATCTTAGTCACTGCATCCTCATAACTCACCCTTTGAAGTCCTGCAGTAATACAGTATCTCCCAATAACGTCAAGAACTCTTGAAAAGCTGCACTTTCCTCACTGTTGCCGAATAATTCTTCTTCTAATGTCTGCAAATTAGGAAAATTGTGATGGCGTCAGTTAACAAATCTGATAAACAAACATGTTTAGAAATGCCACAGGTTAGATCTAAAATAGTCTTATCAGGTGTAAAACCAGCTCTCCCACTACAAATCAGCCACATGTGTAACCACATCATGACATATGATCATTGCATGCCTTCTTCTGTTTTTCCTCACATGATTCAAATGTTGGGGATAGGTGCTGAACATTTCTATATGACTATGCATTTGATCAACTGGGGCAAAGAAGGCAGCCATGAGTGTGAAATGGACATACTTACAATGGACATTGGGTAAGTAGTTAATGTGGATATATCTTGTTTTATGTCTTGCTGGTTTCCTATTATTCCACTGTATGCTTTCATTATCCTTGTGGCCAATTAACAAAAGTGATGATTTCCCAAAAATTTACTGCTTTGCAGTACGCAAAGCAGTAAAAAGCAGAAAATCAAATATCTGTAGTAACAGAATCATTACTCTCCTGTGTAAGATATGAAGTTACAAGCATAGATGAACAAAGCCAGGAGTCGTATTTTTTACTACTGCACATGGATGTACATGTTCCCTTTCTCTCTAAAATTGCATGTTGGCTAGATTTACCTGACTGACTCCTGGAATCTACTTTGATCCTTCTTCCTTTGATTTTAAGTTCACAGCACATTTAGTGACAGTCCACTCAAATCTGACCATGAAACCAATGTTTAATTTTTTGATAGATATTAGATATTTAGAACATATAACAGATTCATCAATTTCTCAGGTAACTCATAGACAAGATTTCTACATTTTAATTCCCACACAGGAAGAGCAGGACTACACTGATGTAGCTTGAGTGAGAATCTAAGGTGGGTAGAGACAGCACCAAGACTGATGCTAGGGAAATGTTACCCTTTGGGTGACATGGGAGGGCAGCATGCAGAGCCTTCAGCCCCCTTTTGGGCCAGAGCGTCACAGGTTGCCAAGAGCTGGGTAGGGAGATGTGTAATGACCAACCTGGAATGTTCTGGCCGGTGTCCCACCCAGCTCCTGGCAACCAGTGACATCAGTGATCTGGGCAGGATGCCAGCCAAAACTGGTCAGTGTACCACCAGGATGCTGGCCATAGAGCCATTAGTGTCTATTCTTATAGATGCCGAACAGCAGTGAGTAAATAGCCGAATGCCACTGAGCGGCATTCGGCTCGGCTGTTCTGCTCGGTCCCTCAGAGGGACCGAGCAGAACAGAAAAATATTTTAAAAAGTAAAAAATAAATAAATAGAAAATGATTGTGCGGAGCTAGCAATGACAGCTAGCTCTGCCCAATAGTTTTCTATTGACCAACACTGCTCCGTGTCAGAATAAAGAAAAAAAAAAGGAAAAGCAGTGTATCTCTCATCTCTCCTTGGCAGCCAGGAGCGGGAGACTCCCGGAGCGCCTGGGAGAGTTTGCTGTCTGGAGATCAGTGTCCCTGGTTAGCTGGTAACCAGGGACGCTGATCTCTCTGCAAGTGACCGGAGCCAGCCCTAAGATCACGGCTGGCTCCGCCCAGCTGTCAGAAGCAGGCTTCGGCTTTAAGCGCGGCTCAGCCGAGCCGAGGCATATGCCTTCGGCTCGACTGAGCCGCTCGGCTAAGTTTGGGAGCTGTACGGGCTATTGTAAATAGCCCGTACAGTAGCCCTTCGGTTCTACTGAAACGAAGGGGTCCTGGGGCCGAAGCTAGCCGAAGGATCGGCCGAAGCTACGGCTAGATCCTTTGGCTACTTCGTGAATAGACCCAATAGACAAATGGCCATGGATGCCACACAGGCTAGTTATGGATGAGGTGCAATCTGCACCCACACTGCACCAAGCTAAGTAGCCACAGGTATATATATGTATACATCCATACATAGTGAAAATAGGATTCAGTTAAAATGATACACAGTACAATATAATTGCATAGTGATTTCAAGTTGGATGCAGATCCCTTCTGTTACTGCTGGTCCTGTATATCACATTATTCCAACACCATAACATTTTGCAGCTATGCAGCCCTGGCACGGCAGTGAGGTACAAAATATGGGATGATAATTAAGATGCCTGCCAGAATTTTCTGTGACAAATTAGTAGATTCATTCCTCTCTGCCTTTCATGTTCTGATTCCTTTCTCTAATTACAGCATTGCCATTATACACATGGCTTGGGCTAATGTTTTGACAAAAGAAATAATTTCATTGTAACTTGGTGAATACTGGAAACCACTAAATTCAAAATATTAGTGGAACAATGGAAACTGCACTAATCCATTTGTTTCTTTTCCAATCTAGTTTTTTTTACATGTTGTTTTCCAGCTTGGTATATGTGTAAACAATCTTTCAAAACTGATAATTATGATATCATTATCAATAACCTGTAGATACATGCAAAATTGGGAGAATTGTCCTGTGGCACAGCGCTCTTCGGGGGGAGGGGGGGTATGTTATGGAGGTGTGGGCAGGGAGATGGAATGCTCAGTGTGCTGCTTCACGTATGTACGGACCGGGGTGTCCGTTGTTTGTCAAAGCAGATTGATTTTTCCCCGCTCCATTTTGTTTATCTCCCACGTTTCGTCCTCTCCGCTACCAACTGGAAGTTTCCACACCACCATTCCCTGGATCCACCCTTGCCTATGCATCTCCCTTCTACACCACACCGTTCATCATCCACTCATCAGGGCCCCACTCCACTTAGACCCCCACCTCTCAGACAGGCTAAACTCAGTTGTGACGCTTCCTTCCCTACCTTTTGTTCTGCAGACTGGAGATGTCCCAACCTTATAACAGCCTTCTTATGGGAATCAGAATGCTGTTTCAAGATCTGAGAGTTACTAAAGGATATTCAACTGTGCAATTTGAATGTTCACTTAACTTAGTTACCATGGGGAAGTTGTTTTCATTTCATCCAGTCATGTGGAAACAAAAAAAATCTGTTTTTGAAATGTTTCATGCACATGGTTGGGCATTTAAAGTGAAAACAGATAAACCTTATGCATTTTGCTAACTATATTATTTGTTTACAGTCATGTCATAATTGAACTTGTGGCCTGCATTCTGAAATTCACCAGAAGGTGGTGCTAGAGAAAGAGTTCTAAGATTCCCACTTTGCATTAATAGAGAGCTGCAAGTACACAGACCAGCCCAGATCATGTAAGATTGGGTGTTATTATTTTAAGGAAAACTGAACCGGAACTCAAATATTGAAGATTTGCTATTATATAGTACTATAGGGGACATCTAGAAATGTTAAAGCAGAACTCTAGGCAAATAAAACCCTAACTCTTGCAGTGGGCCAGTCGTTTTATCTAGGAAGCTATGGTCTAAGGTCCTGTCAGTCATCATGTCCAATACAATGTAAAGAACTCGAGGACGCTGAGGAACATACCATTTTGCTGGAGAGGAGGAGGAGACAGGTTGGAGGGAGCAGTGTAGGAGCTGGCCAGGATCGCAGTTTGGGTGAGTATAACCCAAAACCTTTATAAAACCTTATAACCTTTGTTATTTTAGCTCCCTAGACAAAACAAGCCCCACTGCAAGGGTTATGATTTGATTTGCCCTTTCTGCTTTGATTGTGCCCAAGCAGTATCCTAATAAATCTGATTCCTGCATCACTCATTCAGTGGCTCTGTCCTTCCTTTACCTCTCCTGAGGCTTCTTAAATATTTCCCCCCTGTATTTAGATCACCAGTCAATAGGAAAGGGGGAGGAGGGCTAATGATACTTTAGGTCTTTAGAAAGTAAGGCAACACCACACTACTGCCATTACTGAAGAGTGAAAAAGTTCTTCCCTATGGCAAATAATTAAAGAATTCAAATTTCACAACATTTAAAATGATAGTATTATCCTATTAGCCAATGTCAAACACCTTGGACAGTATAACAGCATGTTAAAGGAAATGTCTACTTTATGTTGTTTGTTTTTTTAAACATATGTTATCTTTCTTTATTTACTATGGTCAGGACCAAAACAAAAAGACTCACTCTGACTCCTTATCAGACAGCCCTAAGCAAGGTTCCAATGAGAGCTAGTCTAAAAGAAAAGGAGTACTCCTGCGCTGTCTCTGCTTAAGCCATAGTGCTTTGGGAACCATTTGCCATGGATTAATGTTTATTTGTAAACCAATATGTTTTTACATATAGTAAGAACAGTAAAAAATATAGTAAAAAAACAACAGTTTAAAAATGGATAAACTGTAAAAGAAACAGCTACAATAAAACTGAACCAACACCATTATATGTCAAAAGAGCAAAGATGATGTGCACCCTACCACAACTCATAGCAACAAGCCACCCTTAAATGGAAGTCAGAACAATAGAAGCTGATTGCTGATCTGTTGGGTTTTTTTTACTGCCTTTTAGAAACTGTACTCATCAAAACATTCTGACCGCTTTCATTATATATTAGTCCAGTGTACGATGCAGCAATGTTTTTAAATTTGATCAATGTTTCACGTTGTACCATTTCAAATTAAGTTACTTAAAGGTTATCTAATCCCAAGAACAAACATATAATATATTGCAGCTTACCATTCTTTATTTGTGTTGTCTGCATTGTCTTTTCTTCCTTTATTTTCACCTGGTAATTCTGCCAGTAACACACTTTCACTTGTGGACTTTTTTAATGCTCAGGCTGTTTTGTTTTGTTTTTTTGTTTTGCTCCATCATCTTATCATGCAGGACAACCAAGAGCTTTCCAGACCATTTTTGCACAATTTTGTAATATGTTTACTAACAAAATCAAATGCAAAGTGGATTGCAAACTTGGTAACATTGTACTTACTTGCCTAAGTTTTTGATATATAACACCAAACTTGAAGGTATTGTTGATTTCATGTTCATCATATGCAACAATCAAATGCGATGCCTGAAAATATAAATAAAGCATAAAGTAGAGAAAATACATTGCATTGTTTTTTTTCTGCTCACTTCAGTCAAGATTGATACGGAATTAATATTTTATTTATTTTATTTTAAACTAAATCATCATAAGCTGTAAAATAGATGCAATCTAGTATAAAAAAAGCAAAACAAAAGTGTTTTTATTTGAATTGTTTTTTTACCTTTGGATAAAGAACTGGGTTGAATTTAAGCCCAGTGGCATCATCACATAAGGCCTGAAATAATAAAAAAAAAAAATAACAATACAATAATTATTTGTTTACCTTTGACAAACGATTGAAACAAATTAAAGAATACTGTTATACTTTTCATTTAAACCTTGGAGCATACCCAGGAAGTCTTGGGGATACCCACTCGGCCCCCCTTCCCTCTAACTCTCCTCTTCCTTTCCAGTACTTTCTGGGGTTTTTTTTGTTTTATCTTGTGGCTTTTTTCTCCTACTCCCACATTTTGATGTATAACGACTCTACTCCTTATCTCCAGCCATATTCTATTATTTTTCCCTATTACTTTATATTGCCCAATGATCATTTAGGCAGTTTCCCTTCCCCTACGTCTGATTAGGTTGCACCCATGTCACCTATCTAACCTTGTTGAGTCGCCTAGCCTGGCTTCATTTAGAAACTTTGTTTCACTGATCGTTACATGCTGCTTGGAATGCACTTTCTATTGTCAATTTCCACTACTTCCGCATTGTAATTTGCGCTTATTTTTGTGGAATTTATTGAAGTAGCCTGTTAATAACTTTTTGCTATTCCCTGCTCCATGGTTTGCGGCCCTAACTTGCTTACCCTTTCCATTATTGATGTCTATTTCATTATGTTTATTTCAGGTTTCTTGATGTTATACATTGCGTTATGCTCTTTCTAAATCAAAACAAAATACTTTGAAACAAACCAAAAAAAAAAAAAAAAAGAAAACTGCTATGATAAAGGGGGGGGGGTATTGATGTCTATTTCATTATGTTTATTTCAGGTTTCTTGATGTTATACATTGCGTTATGCTCTTTCTAAATCAAAACAAAATACTTTGAAACAAACCAAAAAAAAAAAAAAAAGAATACTGCTATGATGAATGGGGGAGGAGAGATTGTTGCTACTGCTTGTGTCACCATATACTGCTCTGGAAATATTACTCCAGTTATCGCCGTGACATGGATACAGCTTGTTCAGATATTCCATTAATTTACCTGTGTTCACTGTCTGGTTAGTATTGTAAATTCTTTGTATTGTGTTTGTACATTCGCCTGGCATCCTGTCATTTGGTTTAGTTGCACATTTAATTTTCATTTTATTGCTCTTGTCTTTTTTTTTTTCTATAATTTTGGTGATTTGTGAAGATAGAATTGAGATTTTTGTGTATTCTGCATGCTGGTCTCTTTTGTTTCGTTTTTATATATTAGGCCCCATTCACACCTAGGAGTTTTGTCATGCGTATTTGTCCGCACTGAAACGCACCAGACAAGAAATACCATTTATTTCTATAGCCCCTGTTCGCACCTGAGCGTAGCGTCGCGCGTAGAAAAATGCCTGTCGCTGAAAAAAGTACATGGGCTTTTTTGGGGCAGGTCAGCGTGATTTGAAGACTCAATAGAATATGTTTGGAAACATACGGCACAACTATTTTTGTCCTGGGACTGTGCGATCTTGTGCTAGTGCACACCGCGGTTGCCACGCGGTCCCATTGATTTCAAAGGAGTTACATCCATGCGGCAATCGCTAAAAAAGGTATAAGTACCTATCTTTTGCGACACACTGCTTTTCCAGGGGCAATTGTGTTCAATTGCACGGGCGGAATCGCGCCAGGAACCCGCTGGATCCACCTGGTGCCCTGGGGTGCCATTAGAACATCGGCTGTGGTGAGCAACTCCGTGACTGCCCAGCAATCTGCACGGTTTTCTGCATAACTGCGGTCAGGAGGCGCCTAGGTGTGAACCTAGCCTAAAACGTGTGCAAAAACACGCAAAAAAAAGACATGCATTATCTACAGTGAAACCAGGCCCGGATTCCCCACAAGGCCACCGAGGCCCGGCCTCGGGGCAGCGGGGCGCAGAGGGGCGGCAGGGGTGTCCTTGTGGGGAAGTTGCCCTCTCTAAATTCAGTCCTGCTTTGTACAAGCAGGACTAAATGTAGTGTAGTGTAGTGAGGCAGACGATTTTTCGTTTACATGTGAAATCGGCGATGTCGCCGATTTCACATATAAACAGTGTGCAGCCTTCTCACTCTCCCCCCTGAACTTACCTCTCTCTTTTGGTTCCGTCCTCCGCCGCCAAATACAATAAGAAGATAAAAAATTATAAAAAAGTAAATAAGATAAATAGAAATGTAAAAAAAAAATTGATTAAAAAAATAATGAAATGAATAAAAAATAAGAAGAAATAATAATAAGAAGAAATAATTAAAAAAAAGTGATAAAAAAGAGGTTAAGTTCTTGTTTTGTCTAGATAGCTAAAATAACAGATATACTCACCCGAACCACGATCCCGGCTGGGTCTTAGACCGGTCCCTTCAGCCTCGCTCTCCCTCTACTCCAGCGGTCTAAGGTCTTGTGAGGCATTACGCTCTATACAGTGTATAGGACGTGAGGATGCCGAAGGACACGCCATGACTGGAATGAAGGGGGAGCAAGCCTAAAGGGACCAGTCTAGGAGCCAGCTGGTTCCAACAGTGCTCCCTGCAGCCTGTCTGGGGCTCTCTCTAATAAAGCCCCAGATATCTATCCAAAATGGAAAGCAAAGTTTTTGGCTTGACATAGATTTTAAACTAAAACACACTTGTTATTATTTATTACAGGTATTTATATAGTGCCAACTAGGGTTGCACAGATACCAAGTACAGTACTCGGTACAAGTACGAGTACATGTACCGATACTTTTGAGCTCCAAGTCTAGACTAGAGAAAAATTCAAAAGTTATTAGGCAGCTGTCATTTGTAAGAAGCACACGGAGCTCTCGGGATTTGTACATCTCTGTTTTAATGTAAGATTTTGTTTTTATAAATATAAATAGAGGGATGCACAGATACCAGTTTTGCGAGTACGAGTACTGGTACTTGTAGAGTACTTACAAGTACGAGTACTGATACATTTTTGTTTATTGTCATGTGACAGTTTTTCTAAAACAATACAGACTAATGATTTCAGGACGGTGGTGGAGCGCCAGAGCCAGGTCCCAGCTGCAACTGCTGCAACCCTGGTAGTTCTCATGAAAATGCCAAGTATCTGCACTGGTACTCGAAAAGTATCTGTGCATCCCTAGTGCCAACAATTTTATGCAGCATTTACATAGTTGCACATTCACATCAGTCCCTGCCCTCGAGGAGCTTACAATCTAAGGTCCCTTTCTCACATACATACAGGGCCAATTTAGACGGGAGCCAATTAGCCTACCAGCATGACTTTGGTGTGTGGGAGGAAACCTACACAAGCACAGTGAGAACATGCAAAGTCCTTGTAGATAGTGTCCTGACGGAGATTCGAAACAGGGACCCCCAGTGCAGCAAGGCAATAATACTAAGCACTAAGCCACTGTCCTTTAACATAGCAATAAGGAGCTAAACAACAATCATGGCACTCTATAAGGACTGGAAGAAAATTTAAACCTACCTTTGCTATCTGAGGGATGCTGGGAAGTTTACTAAATCCAGACAGTGGAATTCGTTCATGTAGAGTTTTCGCTTTTGACCTTGAAAGAAGTCAAAGAATTAAAATAAATGTAAGTCTCAAAGATGATCAAATATATTCCATTGTTATAAAGACTAAAAACTGGGACAACACCACCCACGTGACGCAAGCATTCTCATACTTTGCCTAAACCTCGCTATTTTATGATCTCTCAGAACATTTGGACAATTGATCTTGATAAAGTGTCTGATGATTAAGAAGAGATTCTGCTAACTTACTTCAGAGATTAGATTAAGACACAGACAAAGCAGTGTTTGCCAGGCAAGATGGCTGGAAAAAGTTCAGAAGTAGAGCGAGGTTTGTTTTCATCATACTGGGATTATTGGAAATGACAGCAGTAGAGCATGCACGGGCTTAGCTACTGCTTCAGACACACACTACTGCAGAACTGCAGAGCCCAGCTGTGCGGAAATATGACTAAACACTTCACTGACTGACAGGTTTATTTTAAAATTGTATTTGATTAGAATGCAGGATTTGTGCTTCTAACATATGCAGAGAGATTTTACTGCTAGTTTGAAAACAATTAGATGATGACAGGCAAATGTGCTAAAATTAAATTATTTATAGCAATCTTAAAACAAAAATGTTTGAAAATTAATAAAATGAACAGATTTTTGTGTGTATATTGCTGAATCTGAACACTGTAGGGGCTAATTTCGAAAAAGGTCGAAAACAAAATATAAATATGTATGTCTATATTAAATAACCATAAACTCTATTTCACTCCTAATAACCATATCGATTTAGAAGTTTGTAAACGTACTTTTTGGAGATGCTCGTAGCAGGTACTTCCTCAATGTACTGACAATTTTACTCAGTGAATATGCACTTCTTTGTGTCATACAGAGCCTGCTTTCTAAAACACAACTCAACATCTGAACAATGCAACATTATTATTTCTTGCTGGAAGCAATGCATGATGGGATATGCAGTCTTGAGAAATCAAGACTGCATTACATCAAGCAGCAGGAAAATAGACGCAAAGCACACTGGGAATCCAGGAAGATGATTAAAGTGATGGGCAGACGGAAGGCAGCATTCACTACATAAAAGCATAAAAGGGGTTTTTTTTCAAGTAAGCTTTGATTGCATTATTAAAAACAACTTTAGTATGTATTCCTATTACAATGCTGATATTATAACAGGATAGTATATACAATAATCATTTGCCCTTATTGTATATTCCCTATGTCTTATTCCTTGAAAGACCTTGCAAGCGCTAAAACGTTTTGTTGACCTGCCAGAAATTCACACATGTGTAGTGCCTAAAGCAGAATGTACACTGGGGGTGACTTATAAACCAGTGAACAGCTACACAAACAAGATCCCCCATCCATTCTAAGCTGCAAGGATGAAAAAAACTCACCTGCCAGCCTGTAGAATTTTCTCCCTATATCTGAGTGTGCACACCAGGGGTGAACATGACTCTAAGTATCAACCTCAGACCGCCTATTCTTATAAAAAGGCCAATGTGGGTAATCCACAGTAACCAATCAAATATGAGCCAATTTAAAGTGATAACAAGAATGATTTTAAAATGGTCACTACAGGTTACCCTCAGCCATTTTAAAGGCTTTTTCATGTCATTGTAACCATTTAATGTTTATATATTTTAGTGTAAACAAACAAAAATGAGTCCACTGTAAATTACATACCTGAGTATAATTCTTAAATATTCTATGTTGTCGGCTTCTTCACATTTAATAGAAAGGATCAAGTTTCCTAGGCTGCTTCCAGTGCAATAAAAGTTTAAATGGTCCTGAGAAAAGAAGACACAGAGGGTGGCTGATTAAAGTGTTTCTAATTAAAGTGAACCTGTCACTTTGATAAAAGTGACCATACTGTCTGTAAGTATGTTTGACCATTTCTGAGCACCCAGGGTGCCTCTTGATTTGGACACACATTATAAAGAAATGTGTCAAATCTACCCAAAGTTTGCTTTACTCTGAGCTAATTCAACATTCCTAATTAACGGTCTTATGAGAGAGCTCCAGCTGTTTCACATGTATAGATATACCAAATAAATAAATTAATAACAAAAGATCCATTAACAAAAGACAACAATCTGTGTCCTTAAGTGACCTATATCAATGGATATCAAAGCAGCTTTACCATTCTCCAGTCATCTCTATGGTTGAGCAGAAGTAGCATTCAGACAATTCAGACACAAGGTAAGATAATGCACACACAGAGCTTGCCAGTTAAAGAGTGTACAGCTATTCTGTGCACTCCGATGTCCATACCTACATGACACCTCTGTTGATCCTTAGAAATTAATGGAAACAGTTATAGCTTCTTTGAAGTCTTTTTAGCTGCAGTATAGGGTCAGAGCAGTGACACACATCTACAGATGTTGATCACTACTTCACGAGTATGAACCCCATGGTGCTGACCCCAGCTGAGAAGGGAAATGTAACCTTGATCGGACTTATTCTTTAAATATACTGTTTAAGTATCCATTAAAGTTTAACTGTATACTTTTAGTTTAAGATGTTTTTGAATATTTCATTTTTAAGATTGTTTCCACTATTGACTGCATGTTCGTTTTTGAATACCAGCGAAAACCTTGGCAAACACATTCTTTAGTATATTTTTCTGAATTCTTCACAGCCTTAAATATTCCTATCATCTAAAAAGGGTTAACAGCAAGAGTATATTTTGCCCTTAGACTTTACACAATGTAGTAGGGTAGAAGTACCAATGGCCTGGGTTCAATTTCAATGGCACAGAATTGTTTTATTTATTATTTTTGGTTACAGTGGGAGAGAATCTGAATCTGTGCTTTTCCTTTTGGAAATTTCCCGTCACTCCTCGAATATATACATATAATATACAGTAGATAGATATAGGTGGTATGAAGACCATGTGCTGCAAGTTCTTCCTTTTAAAAAATGTAAATCCAATGGTAATTATAATGTATGGTATACTTTATGCTGGATGTTTAAGCAGCTGCATGAGAAAACCCAGCTCTAAAAGCCATTAGCACACTCATAGGTAAAGAAATAGGTGAGAGCCATTCTGCAGGAAATCTTATGCGATATGATTACATGTGGTTTATAATAGATTACTCTCTCTAGATACATCTATCCTGCTGCATCCAGGGGCAGTGATCTATTCCAAACTGTATATACGGCAGGAATACCAAATCGCCCAGTGAGAATGAGGCCTGCCAAGGGTTTGTTTACACCAGCCCGCATGTGTTATGCTCAAGAGTGTCTTGTGTAGGTTTGGTATGGTATGATGCATTGTCACCATGCATTATACTGTTTAATTTTCCTTTTTTGTTTTTTACTTCATTAAAGTTTGACAAAATTACACTTCAATCCATTTTTTGCTTGCACTGCAGTTCATTGACATGAGGTGCAGTGTGTTGAACTGTGCAAAATTGAAGACATGCTGCATTTTTACACATTGTGCCTTGGCACAGCTTTATTGTATGAACAGGGCTGCTTGAAATCAACTATTTTCTATGTGCCCTTGCGTTGAGCCTGTGTTGATCAATGCACCTCAATGCACTTGGTGTAAACAAACCCTAAGTCTTCAAGGTAATGATTACCTACCCAAGGCATACTGATCTATTAGACCTTGAAAATGTTCTGAATATCTGCAGCAAAGCAGGGGAGTTTGAAGACTGCCAGAAAGGAAAGTATACATGCTCTTCTTATTTCAGGGTTGGCTTTGTTTACAAATGACCCTAAGGTGGCAGGATAATTTTAAAGGGAAAATTAATTTATATTTAGGTCCAAAGAAGATGGAACATGCAAAAACAGACAAATTCATGGGAAATAATTACCCTGAAAGAAAATATATATACCCCAAACTAAGTATTTATAACTTTATAACCTTGTAAAGTATCCACCGCTCCAAACTAGCCCCTATGATGAACTGCAATCCAACGTTTAGTTAACTAATTTGTACTGTGATTGTAGTCCATCACAGAGCAAGCTTGGAGGGGTGGCTACTTTACATCACACACAGGGACCATGGGGAACAAAAGTAGCCACTCCCCAGAAGGAAGGGCAGTGTAAGCACAGATTTAGAGATGATTTGTGTGATACACAAATAAGATACATTTTTGTTAATAGTTAAGTTAATTAATTGGATTTTTAAGATTTAACTGCTGAGTTTAGTGTCACTTAAACAGAAGTAACTCCTGAAACCATCAGAAATACCCCTGGCAGTGCACATACCTCGGGTTTGTGCATCAAAGTTTCTGGAGGCCTCCAGTATTCTTTGGCTTTAAATGGGACTACACTGCAAGTATTACTCCTACAACTACCCTAATTTTCAGAATGTCAATTAGAGCATGTTGCACTCTTCTTGGTGACAGAAGCTTATCTATCCATGATCGCTTAATAAGATCCTCTGCATTTGAAGGTTTCCAAGTAGAGAGGGCGCATTGTAAAAAGCTTATGGAGTTATAGGCATATTCAACTGTTAAATCTTATTTTCTGCATTTAGACATTTTCACTAATATACATGAATAAGTCAACAAACCTTCCCCAAGAAATGTTTTCTGTAGGCCCGAGCAGAACCCTTGTATTCAAGTTTATATCCATATGTGCTGGGACTCATGGGCTCTTCCTCCTCATCGCAAATACTGCTGTCAGATGATGTTGGAGTGCTTATATTTTCTGGATCTTCTATCCAATAACCACCAAACTGAGGCAGAATAATTAAAGGGTATGTGACATCCTTTTCCAAAATCTGTAAGGCACAAGTAATAGAGAATTATAAAGAATAATGGAGCGTCACATATTAGTCAATTTACTGCTAAACAACCCATACATCTGGCTGTACTGTCAAGTATTGGAGTAAAGCTAGCTATGAGGACTGTCTAGAGAGAGAAGACAAAAAAATCAGCATATGAAACACTTTGATATAGACTATAAATACATATTTGTTACATCAAAACATTCCAACCTTTTTATTCGTGAGCTTAAAAATAAAAAATAATCCAAAAACATAGTAGATATACCATTCAATAGTAAAACAAACATCTCCCCACTGGGATCCTAGTGTATTCTAATAATCCAGTGGTGTTATCAACTGCTAAACAACTGTTGTGGGACCAATAAAGTGCACCTATGTCCAGACAACGGACATTAAACAACTTGCATGTTTTTAACAAGCAGCAAAAGATCTTGAAAACAAGCCACCCCTGACTCCTTTCAGTGCATTTAATGTGAAGTTGTACATCGTCAGGTATCCTAAAAGGTCACAATGACGACTCTAAAATTTTGCTTCAGTCAGTTTCTGACTGCGTTCAACAGTAAACACCTGCTGTGTGTTTACATTAGAGCACTGGTCCAGCCTCTCAAAATCTGCTCTCCATAGAAAAAAAAACAAAGATTTCAATGCCTGCATTAAGAATTAAAAAAAAATATTACCGTACAATGTTTAAACTGTAGATACAGAGGTGAAACATTGCTTGTTTAAAGTGCTTTTACTGTTTGTTAAAATATATAAATATTAAGTGTGCATGATCTGGGCACAGGTTCACGAGCTACTGGCCTCTTTTTTTTTAATGGAGTAGGAAAGGGTTAAACCCCTGTATATTTATTGTTGCTGTCTGTGCCCCATTGGTGAGATTGCACTTCACTTTCTGTCCTGAAGATGCAACAGGAACTAAGAAGAAATCTCTACAAAGTGAGGGGATTCTTTTCTTAGACAGTTGTTACCAGAACAGGTGTCCCCTGTCACCCGCACCTTGTGTTCTGGTGACAACTGTGAAATTCTGGACCTCCTATCACTTCTGTCTTGGTAACAATGGTTCTTAGGACAAACAAAGAGAGTAAATCTACCTAATAAGAATACAGCAATAATACATTGAATACCAAAAAAATGGTTTTTAGCTATACATATACATTAATTCATATTTGATTAAAGTATAAAAGTTAATAAATAATGATGTTACCTGATAGCGTTTAATGGCTTATGTAGCTGTGTATAGAAACAGAGAACAGGCTACAACCCTGGCTTCTGTGTTTTTTAATGGTCATCACTGGTACTGCAGGATGTGCCATGTAAGTAATGTGTGCGAGAAATAATGTAATCTAGTTCCTGAAACATTATCTTATCTAGATAGAGTGATCTTTCAAAACTTAGAAAACATTTTAGGATGCTTTAGAAAATATCTGTAATACATGAAATAGGGTGTGCTTATCTTATTACAACCATTTAATATTTATTTACTATAATAAAGTATTCTTAAAAGTTTACCTCCTCGATGCTAGGGTATGGTATATAGTCATCCTGAAATGAGAAAGGAAAGTTACGATAGAAATAGACAAAGGGTTTTTTTCTTTACATCTTTTTTTTCTGCTTAGTGAAATAAATATTAATGTGAAATGGCAGGAATCAGGAAAATAAAGACACATAATAGAATAATCTATATTAGTCAATTCCCCATAAGGTGCTAAAAGTCTCACATCTTTAACTACTATTATACAAGTACTTGAAACACACAGATCAAATGCCTCCAAAATAAACTGCATTTTTGTGGAAATGGGAGCCCTTAGAGCAAACCCATGCAAACCAGAAAGAAAACAGAAAGAACATGCAAACATGTAGGTAGCACCCCTGACAGGAATTCATCTTAAAGATGAAATGTAATCTTATGTTTTAGCTCCCCTGCTTCCTCCATTCTTCCTTTCATCAACATGCTAATGACATGTTTAAATAAAACCTTTCCCATTACATACCTTATTGAGTATTTTACACACTACTGAGCCCTGCACTCTGTGCGTTACCTACTCTTGGCCCAGGCACTAAATACATAATGTTGTAAATTACATTGAGAACATTATACTCAGCACAGTCCCTAGCAATGTTATTCCATTTTCCTACAGGTAAAAAAGTCATACAGCTGTAAGGAATTAAGCAAAATGTCTATGAGCATGCACATAAAAATCTGGATAAGGTTTACCCTGACATACCCTCCGCATCTGTAGACTAAAAAGGTGTGTTGTCATAGACATAGCAACCATAATAACATGTATGACTAGGCACGGGTACAACCACAAGCAACTAGACGTCTGCAGTTTGCTTAGTTATGTTGTCACTCTTGTTAAACCATCTGCTCCAATTTTTCTGATTAGAGAGAGGCTTATAACTCAATGATGAGTTTCTCTGGATTTTCAGAGCATAAGAAGAAACTTGCATGCAGAATCATTCCTAGTTAAATGCATTAGGCAGCACAGATATCTAGGAGTAAACTGAGGTGGCCTTAAGGTTCTAGGATACTGGATCCAGTTTCCACAAGGGTTGCAATCAGAATGAAGTTTGTATTTCCTACCACTGTGTACCTGGAATACCTCCTCTTGCTCCAAAGAGCTCACATAATAAAAAACATGTTAAACATTTCAAACCAAAATTGTCCCAAGTGCGTGTACATGTGTATGCGTGTCTGTATAAACATGGTAGAGACATGAATACACATCTTTTGGTCATCTCTTTTTCTGTGCATTAATGATGAGAACATTACTTTGCATTACTGTCTAGGAGTAATCTGCAGTAGTCCAGTCAAGGGATGCAATCAGAATTACGTTTGTATTTTCATAGTAGGCATTAAGGGGCAGCTAAACAAAGCCTATTTGTGAGCTCTATGAAAATATGTTCTCCCTTATCCCAAACTAACTCAGCCGTTGTTCCACTGTGCCTTACATACGTAGATGCGTCACTTTGTCAACTCTTGAGAACATCACTTTGCATTCAGCTGTCTAGAAGTAAACTGAGGTGGTCTTTAGGTTCTGGGATCCTGGATCCAGTTCCCACAAGGTATGTATTCAGAATGAAGTTTTTTATTTTCTTCCACTATGTACCTGGAATACCCCACTTGCTCCAAAGAGCTCTCATAATAAAAAAACACATCAAACATTTCAAACCAAAATTGTCCCAAGTGCGTGTGCATGTGTATGCATGCCTGTATAAACGTGGTAGAGACATGAGTACATAAGCACCTTTGGGTGGACGGGGGATCATTTTCATGCTTCAATATTCTCAGTACTGTAGAAAATACCATTGCCAAGTAAAACAAGACTAAAATAAATGCAGCATAGATGACAACGGAGAGATTTTAAAGGGTAGAAAATGGGCACATTAATAAAGTTACAAAGGAGGAGACAAGGCATATTTGCTGTGGCTTTGTATAATGGGGCTTCTAACTCTACCAGATATAGTATGATGCCTAGCCCTGCATTCTATCATAACATCATTGTTATACTTCTTTTAAAAGATTGTGGCTTTTTCAGGAGCAGCAGTAAACAGCATATGCAGCAGAAGATAAGGCATGATGTAAGTGCATGATGGGGCAGCTAAACAAAGCTTATTTGTGAGCTCTATGAAAATATGTTCTACCTTATCCCAAACTAACTCAGCCGTAGTTCCGCTGTTAATCGCACGGACGTGTCTCTTTATCATCTCTTTGACTGTGCATCAATGATGAGAACATTACAGTAAAAACACAGAATTCCACTGTGCCCAGTCCTGCATGTATTATGAATGCAGACAACAAACTGGAAAAATCAAATTTGAGTTTTATTAAGCCAGATGGTGAAACAATACCATAGAAATTCGTTTAAGTTGATTCTGAAAGTAACCTCTGACTGAAAACTCATAACGTATGCTTATTATCAGCAAAGCTTTTCCCTAAATTGCTTATTCAGGCTGAATTCTGCTTTACTGAGATTTAACAAACATTCCCTTACACTTCTAGACTGATTCAAAGGATGACCAACTATTTAATGACATGTATGTTAAGGTTTCAAGATTCCAAAACACAATGGCTTCTATGTTGCGCTTAAAGCACCAGCAGCAGATTTCCTGATATGCTGCCAGTAGGGTTCACTGAGGTCTGCATATGTAATGTACACATATTTTGAGCTTTATTTCCAAAAGCAATGTGTCAGGATCCAGATCTGAACCCAGGGCATCTGCTCTGTCTGAACTCCTTGCTCCTCCCCTGAACTTCCTATTTTAGCCATGCCTCTGCACTTCCTGTTTGCCAGATTATTGTTCTCCTGCCAATATCTTGCTTCCTGCTCCCTCTCTGATACAATCTGCTCATACTGCTACCCGTGTAACGACATTTGGCTGCTGATTCATCGACTACTCTCACCGTCTTCTGCTTCATACCTTTGGCTACTGACCTGGGCTTGTTTGTTCACTCTCCTTCTGCCTGCTCCTATACTACTACCGTCTGCTTGTGTACCAAACCCGGCCTGTTATACCACAGATTTGCCTGCTGTTTCAGCTACTGGACTCTGAGTCTGATCCCAGATCGTTACACAAGGGGACACAAGCCCTATAAACGTGTATGGAGTTGCACTTGGCTTTGCTGCTTGTAGGCCTCAATCAGCCATAAAGGCCTCATCATTGGAGGTGCACTAAGCATAGCTAGAACCCACTGGCTCTTGGAATCTGTTCCCACATCTGGCCAACAGGGGAACTAATTTTAACTGCAAACTAAAAGTGCAATAGCAAGTTGACTGAAATTTTCCAATATCGATAATGCAGTTGCATATAATAGAGGTATGTCATGTTTATCTGCTACTGATATGTACCTTTACACAGCTTAAGTCTTGTGTGTAATCCTGTTGCATTCACAGCTACAAGAAGTTGGACCACAATGGACATATTTACAAAGTAGCACTCACATCCAACATTCACTGTTGGTGAATCAATCACTGTAATATAAAACACCTGCAACAGGAAGATTCAGATTGCTTTATAAATATGCACCCACATGTCTTTCAGCATTTAAAATTATCTTTAGTCTAACCTCATCTTGCTTGTATTGCACAGTGGATGACTGCAAGACAAACTGAGTCTAGCATTTCTGAGGGGTCAGGACATGTCCATGACTCCCTTGCCACTCTCCATGTTCTTGTAGTTCTCAGTATTAATTTAATATGTAGAAGTCCTAAAATTCTCTCACTTTCCAACCCAACCTATCACTATGTCCAGTTGCACTGTACCCTTACTTCAGGTAAAACTGAGAAGCACAAACCAGGCTGAATTGCAGGAAAAGTCACTGGTTTTGAAACATTAATCTGGGAAAACAGCAGAACTGGATTCCTATTTTGTGGTCTAAAAGCCACATTTATAAAAAAAAAAACTTTCTAAAACCACAGATCTCTGGACCTGTACCCAAAACTAGCATAACAAAACAAAAGAACAGTCTATTTTATTATCTCCTTTAAAATTAAAATGGTGTAATAAAATACAGAGGTATTGCTATACCCAAGAATACAATGTATATTCATCTAGTCTCCCTTCAAATGCTCCAGGTTTAAATCCTGAACATCATTTACATATATATACATTGATGTTCATGCAATTAAAGATGTGCGGGAAAGGGGCCAAGGTCCATGTTAGTTTGTCTATGGGAATGTTTGACTATTCTTCCAGAAGCGCATTTGTGAGGTTAGGTACTGTTTGCCTACAGACTCTATATCTCTTTACTTCATAAGCATCATCTGGCTACAGTAAGATTGGAATAAAGGGGGAGGTGTGACTCATTTAGCTGTGTATGCAAAGCTTGAGTTATTAAGCTCTGTAAACAGACATTTTAGAGAACAGAATTAATTTTAGGCTGGTAAACACATAAAAAGTTGGTTGAAAATATAATCATGAAATATCCATATTTCATATGTACCTGACTAAAACACTGTTCATTCCATTTAAACTTAAACCTTGACTGCTTATTTACTTTTTTGGTTACATTTGTGATATTATTCCAGGCATACTATGTGCCGGGTTACTGGATTGCTGCAAGTGATTGGGCACCAGTGGGGTCATCCCTCTGCTATGCCTTCCTTTAAGCACACTTAGGTTAGATTTTGATAGCACTGTACAAAGCAGTAGACTGTTTGGCTCAAAGTGTGCAGGAATCAGGTGTGGTTTCCTATAAGACAATTGAAGGTATTTATGATAGTTTTACATCAAACACATTTAATAGTTTTCTATTAGATATACTGTATACCTGGATTAAATAAACTAATATTTATATCTATTTTCTATGTTTAGCTTATTAAAATGCTGTTCGGCTTCATGCTAGATTTTACATCATTTAGAATACTTAGTTTTATTCTTCATTCTAGTCTTTAAATAGACACTATAGTTTGTCTCCACAATAATCATCTGCGGTGTCTGCCTAGGTTTCAGCCAGCAGTAAGATAAGTGTGATGAACTGAGATATAACTGCCTGTTCTACTGGCTAAAATGAAGATAAGGATTTATTGCCTTCATACCGGGTGTGCGCAGTAATGTGTTTGAGAAAGCAGCACAGTATGTCTGCTTTGTTACTAGCCTGAGGACACTATGAACACAACATTCACTATTCGCCATTGAAAAGAACAGAACTGTTGCTCAGGGGGAATATTTAGAAACTGTGTTACCAAGTACTAAAAAGCACATTTTAGTTTTGCAAAGATTTTAATATGATTGTGCCTCCAGCGAAGAGAAGCACAAATAATTCTCAAAAGTTTATTCTTTTGTCAATGGCAGTAGTGGGAAACAAGCTGCGCTGAAACGTTTTAGAAGCTCTACATTTTGTAGAGTAGAGAAGGTTAATAGAAAAGAACTTTAGGACATGTAAGGTAGATCAGCATAGAACATAACCGCAAAATGGACCATTGTTTTAAAAGGAGAGGTTCAATAAATGAAAAATAAACATTGCTTACAATAAAAAAAGGTGAAATGTTCACGTGTATTGTTTCTGTACCTACCTGAAATGTCTGTATGTATCTCTCTCTCTCTCTATCTATCTATCTATCTATGCCTGTCCAAAAACAAAAAAAGTCAAATACTCAATACTTCCTTGGACGCCTTTTGCTTTGATTACAGCATGCATTCACCATTGCATCGTTTCTATAAGCTTATGCAATGTCATGACACTTATTTTCATCCAGAGTTGCATTATTTTTTACCAAGATCTTGTAGTAATTTTGGGAGATTCAGACCACTGTATAAAGTCTTCTCCAGTAGTGATGAGTTTGGTTCGAATTCGAACTTTATAACATCCAAAAAGAACTCAATGACTCAATGCAAGTCTATGGGGGGGTACAACTTTCAAAAACAATTGTCCCCTTTAAGAGGGCTTGTATGCAAGTTATTGGTAAAAAGTGTATGGGGATTGGGGTACTGCCCTGGGGGACAGGAATCAATGAAAAAAAAACTTTTACAAATATACAGTTTTTAAAGGAGCAGTGATTTTAACATCACTTAAAGGGTAACAATAAAAATGAAACATTCCTTTAAATATTGTGCCTGGGGGGTCCCCTTAAACTGCCTGTAAAGTGGCAAATCTGTACGATGCATAGAACCTGCTGCAGCAAAACAAACATTTCTAAAGAAAAAAAAAAGAATGTTTTTTTTAAAGCATGAATTTGTCCATCCCAAACAATACTAGACCCTTTAGGTCTGGTAGGAATGTTAGGAGGGATCCCATTTTAAAAACAAAGAGTGGTGTTGCCCCCAAAAGTCATACCAGACCCTTAAGATCTGGTAGGAATATTTAGGAGGGACCCCGTGTAAAAAAATCAAAAAAGAAATGTGTGGGATTCCACTCAAAGTCATACCAGGCCCTTAAGGTCTGGTAGGAATTTTAAGGAGGAACCCCACCCCCAAAAATGGGAGTAAAAAAAATTGTGGCCCCCCCCTAAAATTCCATACCAGACCCTTGATCTGCGCATAGAGCGAGTGGCCCCCCCTCCCACACCAGGCCACATGCCCTCTGCACTGGGACGGTGCTTTTCCAGAGTTGTCCCTGGAAAAGCACCTTGTCCCCATGCTGATGGGGACAAGGGCCTCTTCCCCACAAGCCCTTGGGCGTAGGTTGTGGGGGTGCGGGCAGGGGGCTTATTCACATCACATCTTTAATAAAGCAGCACCCAGATGGCGCCCCCCTTTGTGAATGAGTAAGGGGTACTTGAACCCATACCCATTTACTAAAGGGTTAAATAAAATTGTAAATAAAAAGATTTTGAAAAAATCCTTTACTTGGAAAAAAAAATTAAAGACATGTTTTTGACAAGTCTTTTATTTAAAGAAAATAAATAAATTTGATCCACCGATGTAATCCAGCGTCAATCAAGACATCCAGTGTTGTCCACAACGACTTGACAAAATAACAAATAAACGAGCGCAGTCCCGCCGCTGCGATGAACACCCGCCGCAGAATAGCATTTGGACAGAGGCCGGTAACATATAAACATTTGGGTGGAGCTAGCAGTAACAGCTAGTTCTGCCCAACTGTTTACAGTTGTAACAGCGTGAGCCATGATTGGGCAGAGTCATCATGACTTTGCCCAATCATGGCTCTCACTTTTCTCTGTGCCCTGATTGGGCAAAGTCTTGCACCTGACCTGTGGTTAGGTGGTTAGGTGCAAGGCTTTAGCCAATCAGGGCTCACAAGGCACAGTGCCGTGTGCGGGGTGTGCGGCTGGCGAACAGCCAGCCGAACACAATGACAGTTCGTGTGTTCATCGAACATCGAGCCCAACCCTATTCTCCAGCGCATTCCAAAGATTCTCAATGGGGTTAAGGTATGTGGTGGCCAATCCACGTATGAAAATTATATCTCATGTTCCCTGAATCACTCTCACAATTTGAGCACGATGAATCCTGGCATTGTCATCTTGGAATATGTCCGTGCCAACAAGGAAGGAAAAATCCATTGATGGAAAAATCTGGTCAATCTGTATATTTAGGTAGGCAGCTGGCCTCATTTTTTGGGCACATAACATTGTTGAACACCTACACCTATTACCTAATGGAAGGCTCTGACCTATTTGCTTAGCTAAATCCAACTTTTGTTTGGATAGGTTTTTTTCCTATAGTACCTAACTGAATGTACCCTCTAGTTTCCCTTCAACAGACAATTTTTAGTTTTATTGGTCATCCTTCAATGTAAATGAAATGTAACACAGACCTTGTTTCTATGGCCCCTCTGCTCTTCCAACTTAGGAGTCTGTAGAAAAGGATAAAAGTCACATTGTTAGTAAGAAAAGTCTTCTATGGGTCGTCTGAAAAAAATCTGAAACAGTAAATTCATTTTACATAGATCGGTTTATTCAAAAAAGTTTATGCATTTAAAGTGTTTGTAAGGCAAAACTTTTTTTGTTAATTTTGGATACAGATTGATTCATTTCTTTATTTTTCCTAGTAGTCACCAAGACAGAAAGTAAGACAAGATCCTACATTTGAAAGTTGTCAAGGGAGATACAATGGAGACACATGTTCTGGTGACTTCTGTCTAAAAAGGCTATTACCCTCACTTTGGAACATTTGCTCTCACGTCTCCCTAGTAGGACACAGCAACAATAATCCTACTTCCTTGGCACACTCTATCCATAAAAAAAAACATATTTTTGCAAAACACATCAAGATCTTTAGCAAAAAATGTTTTTTTGCTGCTCATCTTGGAAAGCCTCAACACACATGCTATGCTATTTCAACTAACAGGTAATACCTCCATTGCAGTCCTCTCTTCGTTGCTCGGTTTTCTCCTGAGGCTCTCTAGGGAGAACCAAGGTTGTGACTATTGGAGCCTCTGCAGTCCTGTTTTGCTCACTCTGATGGGAGAATAGCTGCTGCTATATTCATATATGGTTACAATCATCTACAGTAAGTTAGTGGAATATGTTCCTCCTGATGAAGCTACGGCTGTGGAGAAACGCATAGAGCATTTTCAACAACAGTAACCGTTTATTGACTCCAACCAAGGACTCATTGATCATAACTTTTTCATCACTCCTGCATATGAGTATACAAGGTTTATGCCAACCAAATTTAGGTTGAGCACCAATATGCATATATTGTTTTTATGCTTTGTACATAATGTCTCTAATAAAACATGATGTTTTTATACAATTGTAAGTGTCTGTGAAGGTCCTACACTTGCCTAAAAAGCCCTCCATTATTTTTAGCCCTTAAGCCTTTGGCTTTGGAACTGTTCTTTTTGCAAAGGGATTTGAGGGCATAAAAGTGCATTCATATCCTTTGTGGCAAATGAGGAATACATTTAAGAAATGTGCCCATGTGCCATTTGAAGTATTGGAATTCTGAACTGTAGGTTGATGGTGATTTAAGAAACATCTTTCCTGAGACTAGATGGTGTGCTGATAAGAAGTACTGTTGATTCACACAACTATTTATTTCTATGGAACGGTTTTCCTCATTAGTCCCAGTAGTAGACTGCTTTTTCATAGGAATGAATGGGATTCTGCTCTACATGCACAACCCGGTTAAGAGACTTTTCACGGAGTGGTTGTGCACAGTGAAGATATAGGTAGGTGTAAGAAATAGAGGGGTGGGTACTCCTGTATGGTCACCCTGTAGCACGGCTTTTTGAGACAGGCTACAAGTGGCCATTTCATTATGCAGTCACGACCCCAGGATGTTACCATCAGGAAAACCACCTTGAGAAATGCCATTACTGCAGTGCAGGCATGTAGACAGGGAATGAGTGCAAAGAGGCTGCAGGGGATTACCAGCTCAGAGGTACAACAAAGCATAAAAAATGTGAAAACAGAATTTATTTTAAAAAACTGTTGGCAATGGCAATTGTTTATGATACAGAGTGCTTTAGAAAACGAAAGGGGACATTTTAAAAGCAGCAGTATGCAAAACAAAAAAGCACTGCACATTTATAAAGCACAGCAGAGTACTTTACAAATGTGCATTGCACTCCCCTGGCTTTGATAGTCCAAAGCCATCAGAGTGCAAAAGGAATGAATTGGACTCAGAAAAAAAAGCTGTGAGGTCATGTGACCGGTCAAAGTTGCATGACCAGCTTTCCTTTAATCACAGAGCTCACTCTGCTGTTTGGGCTCCCCAACACTCTGCAGGCTGCATTCTATGAATGGGCTGTAAAACACAGGTCATGGTCAGTGTAGACCTGCAAAGTATTAGGGATTAGTGATATCCACTGTCAATTAAAAATAGAACCCCAAAATGTCTTTCAGTTATGGTGTACATTTACTCCAGGGTAAACACAGCAATCATTTCTCAGATAATATCATTACTAGGCAAACAGTTTGACTTCATAGTAGCCATTATGTCGGGATTTTTAATGTGTACCAAGTATCATATACAACGATCTATTGAAATGTATAATTTCTTTTATTAACAATCTAAAAAGTCAGTCATAAAATCAGCATGTAGAAAAATAACTCAGCTTAGTATACTTCTACCAACGTCAGATCATCCTTGTATCTATACAAAGTTTGGAAGTCAAAAGTATTTATTACACATTGTCCAGTCCTATAAATATAGTTATCCAATGTGAGAGCTAGACGTGGTACTGTATCACAGCTGAAGACAATTAGTAGTGGTAGCGACGCATTTCGCAAAATAAGATCTGCTTCATCAGACTTTACTGTATTTGGTGATACATTTATATGCATCCAGGGGCAGACCATTCTCCATCTGCACCTTCTGTCTACCACCAGGCATTAAAGATTGTCTAACCGGGGCACTGACCAGTGTGTTTGCTGATCCCCATCCCTTAGCTTCTCTACATGGATACCAGATCTTTCTCTGGGCCTTCTGAAATTCCCAATTGTCCCCGGGTCAGACAATCTTTGATGCCTGGCGGTTAGTCCCTAATCAGCACTTTTAAGTAAATGCCAGAATTGCCTAATGCCCAGGCCATGTCTAAAAACAATGTACACATACCTAGTCTTGTGCGATTTATGTCTCCAGGGAGATTGTGCCAATGTTGTGGCATATTATAATAGTGTCTTACAAGAAAACAAAACCACAATATCTGCACCTGGCTTCAAAAGCTGTCAAAAGTCCAATTAAGAACTCTTATTTCTCAGCAAGACACATGACAAACAAAGCCATGGGCCCTCTAGCAATTTATAGTAACAGATGCGTGAATAATAAAACAAAGATCATACAGATAATTGACAAACGCTTGATGTATAAAGCAGTGTATTTACATAACAGGTATTCCAGCTCATTAAGCATTATGAATAGACTTCTTTTCTGAGTCTACAGTAATTAGTACAGCACGTCAACACACACGATGAAATGCGTGATTGTACTAAATGATAATAGTAAACAGAAATCTCAATACAGGGCTGTTTTTAATTTCCACTTTGAATGCTGTCACAACCCCACCTTCTGAAGCAAGCCTGACCTTGACCATACCTGAACTCTATGTTGAGGATGAGCGCAATAGAGATTTTCCATTTCCCAGAACTTTTCATAAAAAATCGGGAGATTTTAGTGCCATTTTGACAAAATGTGTTGGGGTCAGTAGGGAAGGTGAAATTAAAGAAGAAATCTGAGGGAAAAAAATCTACCCCTGCACTGCAAAAGTTAAGTGCTCATTTTTGCCTAGGGCCAAGTTATACTTACCCGATGCTTGGAGACAGCTTGTTCTTAGACCGATCCCTGGAGTCTCTCTCCCCCTCCGCTTTACAGGTTTAAGGTCCTTGAGTCATCACGTTCTATACACAGTGTAATGGATGTGAGGATGCCAAGGGGCATATCATCGCTGCAGAGGAGGAGGAGACAGCTAGGAAGGAGTGCTGTCACAGCCGGCCAGCTCGGAGAATGGGGTAAGTATATCTTTGTTATTATAACCCCACTGCAAGTGTTAATAACATGTTTACCCTTTTTTACATTTTTAAGTTCTTCTTTAAGGGTGCAATTGGCTTTAAATGACTTCTGGAAGTAACAAAAGCTCCAAAAAAACCTTTCTAGACCTGTCCTTGTGCCACTTTTAATCTTGAGCTTTATTCACAGAAGGAAAAAGAGACCAAAAAAAAAAAAAAGATTTAACCACATGAAGACCAGGTGTTTACACCCCGTTCCTGGCCAGGCAATTTTTCAGTATTTAGCGCTGTGGTACTTTAACTGACATTTTTCCTGTCATGCAACGCTGTACTGAAATTAATTTTATAACATTATTTGGGGACAGATAGAGATTTCTTTTGGTGGTATTTAATCACCACTGTGGGTGTTTTTTTTTAGTATATTAAGGAAAAATGACTAAACATTTTGAAAAAAATTGTTTTATTTTTTTCAAAAATATTATAAAACATTTATTATTACCCAATTTTTTGTAAAATATAAAAGACGGGGTCACGTTGGGTAGATAGACACCAAACATATCAAGCTTTAAAATTGCACGCACCCGCAAAATCACAAAAAACTACCATGCCCAAAATTGACCATAGGCGACGCTTTAAAAGCTTTTACCGCTCATCAGTTTAGTGTTATCAGTGATTGATGGCCCTAGAATGACAAGACAAATGGCCAGCGCAGCCCCAATGCATTTGGTGTGAATCGAGCCTCAATACAAAGTGCATTTTAACATACAGTATTTTAAATTGTGGTATAATGCAGGTTAATGCACGTCAACATGTGTTGATATCCATTTACACTGATTTCAATAGAAAATGCTTGAGGAGAAACTCATGTGTGCATAGGCCCTAGATACACCTCCACAGAAAAACACACCTTCTGAATAAAGAATTTTAAAAAATAGATCCTTTTTAAAGTAAATTTCATTGAAGAAACTGAGATTTTCCACATTAGCAAAATGCCAAAATCGCCAAAACTGTTCCGATCATCTGTACAGCTAATTGTAGGTTCCTGAAACCTGCAACTGTCACAAGAACTATATAAAAAATACATTCAGGGAGACTGCACATTCTAAAAGGTCACACTATCTTTTTTTTCACCCTCACTCTAATTACAGCAACATGCAGAAAACATCATTGTGAGCTTGATTTAAAATTACAAATGGAATTAATGGAAATGTAATATAAAGGAAGGCATATAATTATAAATTCCTGGGGCTTAAATACATGTTTAGTGACTTTCAATAGAACATACATATAGACTAAGTGGATGTTTTTTTGTTGCTTTGAGTTACATTTTTCCTTTCTTATTTAAAGAACGTTGAGTCATGACAAAAACACATAGTGTGCAAACAGACGGTATCCGGTAAGTGAAGCCTATAATGCCTAAAAGATCCTACAAATCTGGTTTTATTTAGGAAAGAAAGAGAAGTAGGAAAATAAAAGCTATGAATATATACAATATAAATATACACACAAACACACACACACATACACAACCCCAATTCCAAAAAAGTTGGGATAAACAGAATACAATCATTTGTAAATCTCATAAACCCACCCATACTTTATTCACAATAGAAAATAGAAAACATAACAACAAATTGTATAAACTGAGACAATATTCCATCATTTTAAGAAAATAATTTGCTCATTTTAAAATTGATGGCAGCTGCACGTCTCAAAAAAGTTGGGACAGCGCAACAAAAAGCTGGCAAAGTAAGTGGTACTAACAAGAGCTGGAAGAACATCGTGCAACTAATTTGGTTCATTGGCAACAGATCAGTAACATGATTGGATATAAAAAGAGCATCTTAGACAGTCGGTGTGTCTCAGAAGTAAAGATGGGCAGAGGTTCACCAACCTGTGAAAAGCTGTGTCTAAAAATTGTCAAACAATTTCAGACTAATGTTTTTTAGCGTAAAATTGCAAATACTTTAAATATATCATCATCTTCAGTACATAATATCAAAAGATTCAGAGAATCTGGAGAAATCTCTGTGCGCATAGTACAAGACCGAAACGCCATATTGGATGCGCGTGATCTTCGGGGCCTCAGATGGCACTGCATTTAAACAGTCATAATTCTGTGATGGACGTCACTGCATGGGTTTAGGAATACCAAAAATTACTGTCTGTGAACATAGTTCACCGTGCCATCCAAAAATGCAAGTTAAAGCTCTATAATGCAAATAAGAAGTCATATCTGAACATGATCCAGAAACGCTGCCATCTTCTCTGGGCCAAAGTTCATTTAAAATGGTCTGTCACAAAGTGAACATCTGTTCTGTGGTCAGATAATTTGAAATGTGACATTCTTTTTGGCAACCATGGTCGCCGCACCCCCCGGACTAAAGAGGAGAGGGACCTTCCGACTTGTTATCAGCGGTCAGTTCAAAAGCCTGCATCTGTGATGGTATGGGGGTGCATTACTGTATATGGAATGGGCAGCTTGAACATATGGAAAGAAACCATCAATACTGAAAGATATATGCATATTTTATAGCAGCATATGCTCTTATCTAGACATCTTTTTTCAGGGAGGGCCTTGTATATTTCAGCAGGACAATGCTATACCGGATACTGCATCTATGACAACAGCATGGCTTCGTAGTAGAAGAGTCTGGTTGCTTAACCGGCCTGACTGCAGTCCAGACTTTTCACCAATTCAAAATATTTTGCACATCTTAAAACATAAAATATGACAAAGAAGACTGAGGACTGTTGAGCAGTTAGAATCCTATCTCAGGCAAGAATGAGACAACATTCCTCTCCTAAACTGCAGCAACTGGTCTCCTCAGTTGCAAGACATTTACAGAGTGTTGTTAAAATAAGAGAGGATGCTAGACCGTGGTAAACATGGTCCTGTCTCAACTTTTTTTAAATGTGTTGCTGCCATCAATTTAAAAAATATGTTTTTTTTTCCGTTAAAATTGTAATTTTTCTCAGTTTAAACATTTTATATGTTTTTAATTTTCTGCTCTTCAAAAGACCTTCTGCTTTCCAGCTCCCTCTTCAACTCCTCCCATGCTCGCCTCCAGGACTTCACTAGGGTCTCTCCCATCCTATGGAGCTTTTTACCCCCACCCTAGCCGATTATCTCCCACTCTGACTGCCTTTAGGCGATCCCTTAAGACTCATCTCTTCAGGGAAGCCTATCCCACCTCAAACTATCCACTGAACTATCACTTTCTCAAACAATTCATCCCCATACAGCTACCTCCTCATGTATCACTTGCCCCTCCCTTTTAGATTGTAAGCCATCACGGACAGGGCCCTCTTTACCATCTTGTTTTGAATTGTATTGTGATTGTAATGTCTTTCTTATAATGTAAAGCGCTGCGCAAACTGTTGGCACTATATAAATCCTGTATTATAATAGTAATAATAATTCCCTGTGTGTCCTTTGGTTAGGAAGGAAATCCTTAGGGCCTGTGTCAATAGGCTTTGGCTTGAGTCGATTGGCATGTGCAGCTTTTTTTCAGATGCATTCAGCTTGCATTTGAGGTCAGTTTGAGCCTTCTGAGATCATTCAGAATTAATTGCCAGGTGCATGTGACCTGCATTTTTCTTTCTTCTAAGCTGCATGAACCTGTTTCATGCTGTTTTTGCACTTCCATTGACTTGTATGGGGGAGATAAGACAAATTCTGATGCAAACAAAAGCTTGTTAGCACAGCCCTTTACCCTGCTGGGTTCTCTCCTTCTCTAAGCTACTTTTAAAGCTACTGAGCTACTTTTTTCTCAAAGAATGCAAAGCGTTCTTAGATTGGAGGAGGTGAGATGATGTCACATCCCCAGCTCCTCCTTTTTCCCAAGAGTTTGGCTTTAAATTACAGCTGTACCTCTATAATAAAACCTCCACCTATCTATTGTACCCAAAGACAAATCTCAGCTGTAGAGCAGACCTGCTAAGATGTGCTCTCCCATTTTTCTCTACAGAGGTTCTAGTCATGTCTGTACATCATGGCACAGAAGGAAATCAAGTGCACACCGTGCCCAGTACAGTGGAGGGCTTGGTGGCATGAAGATGATACATGCTTCATCTGAGGTCTGTTTTTGAATACAAA